TTCTATTCTATATTCTATTCCACTCCATTCCATATTTTCTATATCCTCTATCCTATCCTATCCTATTTTCTATTCCATTCATATTTTCTACGTCACATATCCTATATCCTATCCTATCCCATTCCATTGTAAAAGAAGCACTTGCTTGCAATGCTAGAGTGAAAAGTTCCCAGAGGGGTAAAAAATATCACTTACCAGAACCTCTACCAAAATATTTTGTATAGCAGTAGCGATCGGTGTCATCACAGACCTTTAGGTCGATGCACTTGTTGTTATGGTCCACTTTGTCGCATGCCATGCATATGAGCGAAGACTTTGCTACAGGGCACACAGAAAGAAGCAAAGACACTTGCATTACGAAGTCACATCATGAAATGAACAGAGACACCCCGGCAATTTTGCAAAGTTTTACAAGAATCGTAAAATAAAAATAAATAGATAAATGGGAATGTAGGTAGCTCTCAAACGGTAGGAGGACAACTGAGCCCCAAACTTCCGTTGCTAAGTGAGACATTTGTTAAGTGAGCCTTGCCCCATACGGCGGCCATTCTTGCCCGCAACCTTCTTGAAGTCAATCACGGAAGTCGTTAAATGAATAACTTGGTTGTTAAATGTTTCCCCCTCCTCAATGACTTTGCTTATCGGAAGGTCACAAAAGGGGGGTTGTATTTGACCCTGGGATGTTGCAATCGTCCTAAATACGAGTCAGTGGTCGAGTGTCTGAATATTTCATCATGTAACCCTGGGGATATTGCAAGGATTGTTAAATGTGAAAGAAAGATCCTAGGAGTCACTTTTTCTTTAAAAAAAAAAGTGTCATTGTAACTTCAAATGGTCACTAAATAAATGGTTGTAACTACTTTTTACAGATTACAGATTAACAGAGTTGGAAGGGATCTTGTAGGTCATCTAGTCCAACCCCCACCCCCCGCCCAGGTAGTAGATCCTACACCATTTCTGACAGATGGCAGCCCAGTCTCTTCTTGAAAGCTTCCAGGGATGAAGCTCCCACCACTTCTGAAGGCAACTTTGGTTCCATGGCTTGATTGTTCTCACTGTCAGAAAATTTCTCCTTATTTCCAGGTTGAATCTCTCATTCCTCAGTTTTCATCCATTATTCCTTGTCTGGTCTACAGGGGCTTTGGAAAATAGCTTGACCCCGTCGTCTCTGTGGCAGCCCCTCAAATACTAACGTAAAAGTGAACATTCCCCTCACACATATGTGTTAGTCATTTCCGGCTCTAGGGGGCAGTGCTCATCTCCATTACAAAGCCAAAGAGCCAGCGCTGTCTGAAGACGTCTCCATGGTCATGTGGCCAGCATGACTAAATGGTGAAGGTGCATGGAACGCTGTTACCTTCCCACCAAAGGGGTCCCTATTTTTGTGCTTGCAGTTTTTACATGCTTTCGAACTGCTAGGTTGACAGAAGCTGGAACAAGTAACAGGAGCTCGCTCTGTTATGCAGTGCTAGGGGTTCAAACCACCGAACTGCCGACAAGCTCAGCGTCTTATCCACTGAGCCACTGTGTCCCTTCAAATATTGAAACACTGCTCTCCTGTCTCCCCTGGTCCTTCTCTTCCCTAGACTAGTCAAGCCCAGTTCCTGCAACCGTTCTTCGTATGTTTGAGCCTCCAGCCCCCTAATCATCCTGGTTGCTCTTCTCTGCACTTTTTCTAGAGTCTCAACCTCTTTTTTATAGTGTGGTGACCAAATCTGGATGCAGTACTCTAGGTGTGGTCTTACTAAGGCTTTAGAGCAAGGATCTTCAAACTTGGCAAGTTTAAGACTTGTGGACTTCCAACTCCCAGAATTCCTGAGCTATCATGGCTGGAGGAGGAATTCTGGGAGTTGAAGTCCACAAGTCTTAAAGCTGTCAAGCTTGAAGATCCCTGCTTTATAGAGTGGTATTAGTACCTCACTTGATCGGGATTGTCTCCCTCTGTTAATGCAATTTAGGATTGTGTTGGCTTTTTTTGGCTGTCGCTGCGCACTGCTGTCTCCTATTTGCTTGTAATGGAGTAAGCAAGCAAGCCAACATGGTGTATGATTAGAGGACTGGAAGGCTAAAGCATATACAGAAGTGTCAACTCTCAAAAGGCCTCTAGTTGAAGCCATACTTTATTTTGCTTCATTTCTACCTTGCCATGCATTAAAGAATGTAGAATGTTTTCCTCTACAGTGCCAGACAAAACAGCGATAAGGCTCCTGAGACCCAAGGTCAGCTCAACATGCCCCGGCAAAAGCCATAGAGAGTGATGAGAAGTTCATCGCCTGCTTGGTTGGTTAACATGACCTGTGACATGATAGGGGTGATGGACAATATCTATTCTTTAATTATACCAAAGCGTGAGAATTATTCAGAGTTGGTTTCACATTTGAACGCGCTGATATGATGTGCCTAACAAACAGGATCTTGGAGAAAAGCTATGGTCTCAATAGTCTTTAATTGATCAAGGGCGTTACTCAGAACCATGCCAGAAAAGTTGCAGGAATTGGGTATGTCTAATTTAATGAAAAGAAGCACTGGGGGTGGGGGTGACATGATGGCAGTCTTCCAATATCTGAGGGGCTGCCACAAATAAGAGGGGGACAACCTAGTCTCCAAGGCACCTGAGGGCAGGATAAGAAGCAACAGATGGAAACTCATCAAGGAGAGAAGCAACTTAGAACTAAGGAGAAATTTTGTGGGGCTGTTGATAACGATAGGATGGCCAACATGATTGCCAACATCCGATGATGGATATGAAAGAAGGAGGAGGAGGAGGAGGAGGAGGAGGAGGAGGAGGAGGAGGAGGAG